GGACCATTGGCTTTATGCTGACTCTTTTTCTTTCTGTCCCACTTAAGCTCCCTCAATCTCCTTCAAATCCTCCCTCTCCCATCAGCTAGTTCCGAGCGGACGGCCCAAAGAGGATGGAGTGGGATTAAAGGGTTTTTAAAACATAAAATAAGGAGTTTTGGGTAATTTGGCAGCCTGAATCCCAGTTTTCAGGCCTGTACTGCTACATGGCCGCATACAAGACATCAGAGGGTGATGCTTCCACCCAGATAAATAGCAGTCGAGAGCGAGAGCGGAAATCCTCTTCTCATTTTTCACTTTTTGTGTTTGTTTTTTGTTTTTTTATTCTATTTAACCAGACTAATCTGGTCTCCGATGAATTTTTATTGTTTCTTATGCCGAGCCAATAAGGCTTAGAGACACCGATTCGAGCTTCATGCCTGCGTTGTGCTGGCAAAGAAAAAAAAGATCGGGCGAGTGAGCGAGAGGAGTACAATGACTTGGTGGCATCATTGTCGGTTGTACTAAATCCAGCACTGCGCAGGGAGAGAGGCAAAGATGCGGATATCTGGAAAACATCCCGACACACATCTGTTGACGTATCCTTTCATTCTCGCATACACACACACACACACACACACACAGCGCACTCAGAGAGACGCGTTCCAGCTCTTGGACTCGTGACACTTTTTGCATCTGTGCATGCATAGCGATGTGTATGTGTTTGTTCGCTTGTTTGTATGGTGTGGGCTGCGCCCCGTAGGCCTCATTTACTCCTCCTCCCTCGATTCCTTGTAAGCACCATGCATCACTAAAGGAAATGGGGAAAAAAGCACAGAAATTGGCCATCGCCAGTCGCCGCAGAAAACCTAAATCGCACAGCCCACAATACGACTGATAACATTCACGCTATCTTACATGCTTTCTGGATTTGACGGCATGCTGCACAGTGGCAGCGTGTTTTTTGGAATACCCATGAATCCCCAGGAAAGGCCTGACTTCCACACGTAGCTTCACCCTGTTGAGGGTCGGACCTGATGTGTGAAAGAGATCCAGGTCCGTCTGCTGTGAATGCTAATACACATTGCTATTAGTGTGAACAGGATAGTAATGCTGGATCCTGTGAAGCATTCATACCTCCATCTTTCTGAATGCAGACGACCAGAATATTTCCATATAGCATTCAGGGTTAGCAGTGCACATGTAAACCTGCTCTTGAGTCTGACTGTATAGGGTAAGAGAGATTTCTTTAGTCAGTCATGTATGAAAAACATGATTCTCGTCTCTTTTTGTCTGCAATAGGGCTGGAGAAACGTCAACCTCTGAGGCTACAGATGACTTCTCGAACACCCTCACAAGTCATCGCACCTGGCCTTGGAAACACACAGGTGTGTTCTTTTGAATACAAGTCCGCTTGAGTAAATACAGTTCTCAAAGTAGATACAAAAGTAACAGGGTTGAATGACTACTGTGTACTCAGTATTTGGATCAAGGCGCACAGCTTGTTTTTCACATTGAGCTTTATGGTTATAATTTATATTGACTTTGTGTTTTACACAGAGCTCTACTGCCGTAGATTATTCTCTCATTAATGCCCTGAGAGTGATATCTTTCCTTCTGTTTTGCCCTCTCAAAAATAGGTTCAAGTTGACTGCCTTTTTTCTGCTTGTATTGTACTTAGCTAATCATCCTAAAACATGAATGTTTTATTCTTTTCTGTCCACAGAATAATTAAACTTTTTCCCATACATATTTATTGGACAGTAAAGACTGTAGGCTATTACAGACATTTACATCAGAATTTTAATACATGCATAATCCTGAATGTTAATGGCACAGTCATAATTTACCATGGAGAACCCTCCTCCAGTTGAGCTGCAGAGGATGCTTGAACTCAACACTTCCACCCACTCGTACATACAGTACATTTACGCAAGATTACTGAGTGATTGGCGCTCATCTGATCACCTGATTCAGGTGTGGATGCAGAAAGGTGGCGCTGTGACATGCAAAGCAGATGGGTTGAAGTAGATCTTTAAATGTTTTAAGATGCTTTTTGAGACACGATGTGATTTTCACTTGTTAAGTAAGTTTTTCTTAATGTTTTTCTCTCTTTAGAAATCAACCTTGACCGGAACACCCAGGTAATGATTTAAATTTCTATGGTATATTGCTTACTTTAAAATGATACACTGTGGTGTTAAGTTTTTGTATGAGCAACATTTACTGTTCTATAATTGATGCATGTAGACAAATCAGTTCTGCCGTGTGGATGCAGAAAGGTGGCGCTGTGACATGCAAAGCAGATGGGTTGAAGTAGATCTTTAAATGTTTTAAGATGCTTTTTAAGACACGATGTGATTTTCACTTGTTAAGTAAGTTTTTCTTAATGTTTTTCTCTCTTTAGAAATCAACCTTGTTGACCGGAACACCCAGGTAATGATTTAAATTTCTATGGTATATTGCTTACTTTAAAATGATACACTGTGGTGTTAAGTTTTTGTATGAGCAACATTTACTGTTCTATAATTGATGCATGTAGACAAATCAGTTCTGCCAGGTATATGATATCTAAAACTGAGCAGAATTTTTCTGTGAAAAGTAGTACTTTTTGTTTATTATATATATCTTTGTCATGTTTTCACTTCTAAAAAAAATTAATGATTGTATTAAACGAAATATTTAATATCTATTACTGCAGTTGTTGCTGATAGTTGTAATAATGATATTCATATTTTGTGACTTTTAGGTGTCTGAGGAGGGGAAACTGAAAGTTATTCATTTTGGTTTAGTGTAAATAGACATATTTTGTACAATTAATAGGTTTTAGTATTTTTTTATTTATTTTTTTTACAATAGAATACTTTTTTTTTACTGAAAGAACCAGTGTAACAGATTAAATGTGCTTAAACTATAAAAACTACTTTTAAATAAAACATATTTTTGCAATTCTTTTGATTCGGTTTTGATTACTTTTTTAGATTGATGCACAGTGTTTGTTAAAGAATTTCATGTCACATAATTTGTCACACTCTATTTTGGAAAAGGGGTTGTAAAATCCTGTTTATGGCCAGTACTGCACAGTCTCGTTGAGTGAAAACATTTTCTAACCTACTTTTTCACGGTTCTTCCTTTCTCTGTTACATATATTGCCTAACCACTCTGGCTCGTGCCAGTCACTATCATACTATCAAAATGGATGTTTGAGAGTCTGTGCAAAGAGGGTTTTTTATTTATTTTAGTAACACTTCACTTTCTTTGAGAATGGTGGCACAGAGGCCACAGTAGTATCCCTGTTCTTGATCACAGGATCAGTGGTGTGGCTTGTGGGCTGGGTTTAATTCTCCACCTGTTTGGTGTATGAGATTACATGCAGAAGAAATGCAGAGGGATACGCAGTGCGTGTCTCTAAAGAGGAGGCTGCCGTTTTCCCCCCACAGTCTACATACACAGCGGCCGTGTCAGAACTGTCGCCGGCCTGCTCGCCGAACTTAATCTGACAGCACCCAGCCATCCATAATCCCTCACTGTATCGTAATCTATTTACTTTGCATTCTAAGAGGATTTTTTAAAAGTGTATATATACAAGCTATATAAATATGAATTAATGCTGTAAATTGAGGACGGGTCAGGAGAGGAAGCTTTTGTGTTGTCACCTCTGTTTTTATGTCCGTCTGTTGCTTATTCTTTGCACATTTTCAGGAAAAATCAGTTACATTCTGTTGTCACCGTATCATAGCATATTTTAAACATCACTTTACATGTAACTGTCTGTTGTAATATGTTGTACACTCTTAAAAATAAAGCTTCTTTATTGACGTCTATGGTTTTTGAAAGAACCTTTAACATCTTCACTGTGGAAAAAAAACCTTTTGGATCCTTTATTTTTAAGAGTGAATACATGTTATATACAGTGGGTACGGAAAGTATTCAGACCCCCTTAAATTTTTCACTCTTTGTTATATTGCAGCCATTTGCTAAAATCATTTAAGTTAATTTTTTTTCCTCATTAATGTACACACAGCACCCCATATTGACAGAAAAAGACAGAATTGTTGACATTTTTGCAGATTTATTAAAAAAGAAAAACTGAAATATCACATGGTCCTAAGTATTCAGACCCTTTGCTCAGTATTTAGTAGAAGCACCCTTTTGATCTAATATATATATATATATATATATATATATATATAATATAATATATAGAGTGTCTGTGCATTTTATTTGTGCATTTATTATGATAATTGTTCAGACAACTCACTATTATTAATGTCTTAATCTGATTTTCTAGCAGTTTTCAAGAGGCATCTGTCTTATTTGAATTATATTCATATTGTTTTTTTAATTAGTCTGGCCTCCTGTCACTGATTGTGTGCCAGGAACCATTTTCAACAGCTCAGACTAAATCTTAAAAATGTATAATCACATAGGATTATTTGAGAGATCACAGTTTTTCTGTGAATGACAACCTTGTAATCCTGTGTTGTCAAACTAAGAAAATGTTTTGGATCGAACAGTCTTTTTTGGCAAAGATGCTGAAATTTGATTGGCACATAATTGGGTTTGGTAGATGAGCTTATTTCATAACATCAAGAACCATTGTTAGTTTCTTTTAATGAGTTATGATATAGAAGCTTAGATGATCTGATCATGTTTGTGTATTTTGCAGTATTACAGTCATGGCCATGAGTTCATGCTTCTGATATTTTCTTTTAATATTAAAAAATGTTAACTTTATAACCAATGGTACAAGTGCAGAAGTTTTACTAATGCTATGGTAAGTTTAGTGTTCATGAGTTTCTGTGAGCATCAAGGGCCTGGTGTTCTTCATAGTTCATCAACGATCTGACATCTAATTCAAGCAGCTGTTATACTCCACCAATCTGCACATACAAACAGTCATCCACTGTTAGTGTTTATTTCCTGGCGGGCTGTAAGCAGAGAGCAAACTGGTTTTCAGTACTCACTAGCCCACGCCAGGCCTCAGGGTTCAACTGAGCGCCTTCTTTCAGACAGTGAGGTGATGTCAGTCTGGTCACTTGATATGAGAAAAATGAACTGGACAAACTGTTCTCAGCTCAATTAAGAGTTAATTAACTCTTCCCATTTTAATTGCTGCTATTAAGATCAATTATGTCACCACTCAGATTGGATTGTACTGTTTTGTCAGCCAACACTTGAGTGGTAAAACATGGTAGCCTATACATTACCGGAGAGATCTGTTCCAGTCTCTATCACATTAAAACTTTTTGTGTGTTTATATTTCTTTCTTCCATATAAAGAAAATCATTCCATATCACAATTTACCTTTTTTTGAATTGACTAAAAATGTGAACTAAAAAAGTTAAAAAAAAGTTTTTCAATTACATTTGTTCAAATAGGTCATATTTTTTCTGCAATATATATCAACATTTTCTTATTCCTGTACCAGCAAAACGCATTTATAAACTACAACAATAATAATTAATGATTGTTATACAATTCTTCACTGCTTCTTTAAAAACAAGCACTTTTTGAAATTATTTCAGCATTTAATTAGATCGTTTGAATTTTTTTGAAAATAAAAATAAATTTTATTGAAGAGTTGTATTCAAGTGACTGTACACTCTAAAAAATGCTGGGTTGTTTTAAACCAATGTTGGGTCAAATATGGACTAACCCAGCTGTTGGGTTAAATTTGGGTTACATTTTTAAATTCGCTTTTTAACCCAACAGCTGGGGTAGTCCATATTTGACCCAACATTGGGTTGAAACAACCCAGCATTTTTTAGAGTGTATGAATCTTTTTTTTAAAGGAATGAATAACTTCGTTAACACACCAAACTTAATAAATCGCTAATACGTTGACCCAAATAACTTAAAAGGTTATAGTTTAATAGGAGCTACAGTCTGTAGCCTACCTAAACTGTGAATATATGGTCAGCTACGGAGTTAAATACAATTCTTCACTGCTTCTTTAAAAACAAGCACTTTTTGAAATTATTTCAGCATTTAATTAGATCGTTTGAATTTTTTTGAAAATAAAAATAAATTTTATTGAAGAGTTGTATTCAAGTGACTGTACACTCTAAAAAATGCTGGGTTGTTTTAAACCAATGTTGGGTCAAATATGGACTAACCCAGCTGTTGGGTTAAATTTGGGTTACATTTTTAAATTCGCTTTTTAACCCAACAGCTGGGGTAGTCCATATTTGACCCAACATTGGGTTGAAACAACCCAGCATTTTTTAGAGTGTATGAATCTTTTTTTTAAAGGAATGAATAACTTCGTTAACACACCAAACTTAATAAATCGCTAATACGTTGACCCAAATAACTTAAAAGGTTATAGTTTAATAGGAGCTACAGTCTGTAGCCTACCTAAACTGTGAATATATGGTCAGCTACGGAGTTAAAGATAAAGCTATATTATGAGCTCAGCAAGTGTCCATCCTGACCAAGTGCCATAACGCCGTCTGTCATCTGTTCCTAACACCTCCGCGTCAATACTGTAGGAATAAATCCCTCTGGTGGTTTTCCCACCCTCAGCGTTTCTGTAACTCTCGGAGGCCTGGAGTCAGCATCTCACCATCTCAGCAAACCCTTCGCTCATCACACGTCCGTTTTCCCATTAATGGTTTTGGTCAGTAATCTCTTTTACAGTTTTCACATGTAATAATATGGTGCCAGTTGTGGACGAGCAGTCCCACTCGGATGACATTTGGACATATGAGCATGGATTGCCTCACACAGCAGTAATGGAAGCGTCCTATCCGCTTCACGATATGAGAGAAAATTCTACGTTTAGAGGACACCTTCAAAACAAATACTTGACTGAGGGAAGTTAGCTTCTCAAGCTTTTTGCTCTAATAGTTTCTCTTTCTTTTAGTTTAAATAATTGTATTCGTATAGTGTGAATCATTAACACAGTTTTTATTCAAATAATAATAATAATAGGCTAATCAAATATTTGAAAATGAGACTAAAATGAACGTAAAGCGTTCTCAGTATAGCCTATATTGTAGTTGAGTTGTGGTAGCCTATAGTATTAGCCTATAACTCAAACTTCTGTCGAAGGCAGATGCCCTCCAGGTGAAAACTGATTAAACAATATATTCTGGTTGAGTAAATGACAATATAACAGCTGAGATAGTTCTCAGAACGGAAATTTGAAATGAAAAATATCGGACCAATACAGGTTAAGTGAGACGGTTTAATCACTTTATCGTTGTTTACTATATAGCCTATACTTTTTACCATTTTTTAATTCAATTTTTTTCTTTTATTTTTCATTAGTTAAAAAGTGTAAGCTAAATTATTATGAGAAGAATGTTCCTCTTACTTGTATCCCTACCATTCAACTCGACTTGGATTTAAAATAACGTCACATGCCGGGCTTTACATTTCGAAAAGCATTCTAGGCCTATTTCAAAATATGAGTAACATTGGATGAACTTTGGCAGTTGATGAGTGCTTAAATGACGACGTAAGAGGCTGTTATTAAAGGTTTTAGAAACCCCGTGAAATATTATATGTAGCCGGACAACAAGTGTAGGCTATAAGGACGAAACATCTGAAGACTGGAGCATGATTTATTCCGGTAGCATTGCGTCCAAACATTGTTGGCTGTTACTAATAGAGTGTAAAATAACTGACAAGCTCTCGGAGTTAATGGACATGGATTCGCCTCGCCAGAATTATGCCAGCGTCAGTTGAAAGTGTTGGAACGAACAGGCCCTAAAGGTTTCTCTTTCTCACCCCTCGGGCTTAAGCAGGTGCTCCACGCGAGGGAGTGTCCGCCTCAAATTATTCCCCAGGCAGACAGGACGCAAATGTTT